ACAGTTCATTCGAGCTGGCGCTGCACTACAGTATATTCAAGCCTTATTCACGTAATCATGTATACTTCCAACGATTTCGGCTGAACATAGGTAGTACTTAATACTTAGTAGGACCTGCAGTTGCATTAGTTTGTTTTCGCAAGTGCTTCTGGTTAGTGCATGTACAGATATTTACGTTTGAAAAATACGAAATACCAATATCTATAAGTATTGTTTTATTCTGTCGAAGGAGATATACCTGTATATTCCGATTTTCGCGTAAATAGTGTATTTACATCTGAGTATGAAACCAGCAAAGCTAATGTAGCGTTCATATTATGGGTAATATCCCGCCCATTGTCCGAAATCCCCACCAATGCAAAGTCAATGTCCTGCAGGTCAGCTGGGCCGATACTGTAGTACGCTTTAACTTCAACCGTATCTTAACGTACCTAGCATTTTATTTTGTGTCGAAATCATTTGTTCTTGCACAGCTACCCCTCAGGAAACAAAGAAATACGCTACGTTTCGATACGATTGAAGTGGAAACGGCCTTTAGTGGTGAAATTAATCCAAATTCCCCTATGCCTATGTATTTTTTCAGCTTACTGGAACTAGCTGGACTCAAGGTATCTCTGCTGACGTGACATATTACATCACAGATGCTGGTTCAATCTTCAACGCCACTTACGCATGCTCAATCTTAAAACGACTTACCCTTGTCGAAATGTCCAGTATCACTGCACCGTACACTGTCAATTCTACACCCCGTCCTCGGACGCCCACTACCTCGGGGACCTCTGCTAATGATGACGACTATCCCTCCTGGTTTATCCCTGTTGTAATAGCTGGCTCTGTGGGCTTTCTACTATTGGTTCTTATTATTATACTATACTGCCGGTGGAAGAAAGGAGCGCCGCCTAAGAAAATTCAACCACAGGCAGGTTCTCCCATTGAGGAAGAAGTGCATAAACCAAGGGTAAGTGCATGATTGTCAAAGCAATTTGTACATGGAAATTTCGAGTCCAATTTTGAATGTATAAAAATTATACTGGAAATTTCTATCTACAAATCCCTTCATGATCAAGAATTAGTTATCGAATGAGATGCCCAAAATCCTGTCATTTTTTAAGTGATTAATATTATCATTTGATTTTAGAATTAGTTCATCAGTTTAATCTCGCCATTTTTCAAATTTCTCACTCCCTTTTGGCGTATTTTGTTATACAGTATACAGTACTTTTGGCAATTTCCAAACTCTGTGGTAATTAAGTTCTTTGACTTGTAATAATTTTCTCCTACGATTTTTATTCTGTTTCCGACAAACACACTAAAATGGCTAAAATAAATTATTGCGAATTATTAAGTGAATGTAAGTGCATAATGCCTTTATATGTATACAGGTGTACATCTTGTCATAAATGATCGCGTTGATTGTCATCCCACCTGCTTTGAAATAAACTCGCGATAAAACTTATATGTCGGACGATCATGCATCTAAAATATACAGTTAAATGGCTGTTATATATGAGGCTTATAAAATTGTGAAAAACGTATTCGAAATTCCAAAAACAGATTTCTTACTTAAATGTAACCCACAAAAGGCATGATGTTTACAAGGTTTTGTTGAAGTTAATCAACAAGAAGGAAGTCAAAAACCTTGAAGGACAAACTTTGGCCGGGCGGTAGAATATAAAGGCCCGTGCATTTGCACTCTCATTTCCACAGAAAGAAAATTTTGTAAAATGTGATTGACCGACACAAGGTTAGGGTTAGGATTAGGGTTAGAGTTGGTGTTTGGAGCAGGGTTAGTGTTAGTAAAACCGTTGCTTTGTTACGTTTTGTCACTCTGAGGCCAGCGAAGTAATACCTTCCCATGCACTTGGTAACGGTCGCGCCCCGAATCGTGACCAAAGCTCAATGCTCAACCACGCCCACCCACCCTTACCAGATTTAGCTGGATCCATCCTTGGCCGAAAGGGAGAAATACTTAATAATATACTTCACGAAGTTTAGAGCAAATGCATGAGAGTTAGTACAAAGACATATATAATTGACAAACGCAGCTTTGAATTCATATAAGCAGTCAAGTGAAAAACGATAAACTAATCAAAATTGCATAAACATGTCAGGCACAATCTGCATAAGTTTACTATTAGATACCTTCACCCAGGCTAACTGACTGTATATGCAAGGTTTCGTTGTGATCAGTTACAGTATTTTAGAAACGCAGACCATTGTGAGCATCCTTTTATGAAAAAAATGACAAAACAGACATATTGTTAACATTTCACCTTAAACCCACAAAAATCAAGGTTCGTAATCATTTCAATGGGAAAATATCGTTGGCGGTGTTTCTATTCAGGATTTTGGGCATCTCGATATGCATGACTCATTTTTGAAGGGATTTATTTGTATATCGAAATTTCGAGTGGAATCATAAATCCATTCAAAAATTAGTTATATCAAGTGAGATGCCCAAAATCCTGACCCATTCACCATACATTAGTATTTATACATGAACTTGTGGTTAGAGCTTAACAACTGTCTCTCTGTAACACAGTTGGTTAGCACTGCACCAGAATTGTAGTGCTGCAGGGTTAATTCCTACCAGAGGGCCGATATAGTCCCATTTTTCGCAACTGCTCCTGGTTATAGGTGTCATAAATGTATAAAAATTTCCATTCGGTGTTTTTATTCACATACTGTACAGCTGTAGTACATATCCAAAATAAGATATTTGCAAAGTCTTAATTGTATTCATATAAGAACTTTAAAATGTTTTAACATTATTAATAGATGACACATGCTGCTGAACCGGAAGCCAGACCAACTTTACGCCGGCCTCCTCCTACACCAACACGACCAACTGTCTCTGTTGAAGAAAATGGTCACAGTGAACCACGACCAAAAGCTGCTCCACGTGCTCCTGCGCGAAAACTTCCGGTGAGAGAAGGCTCTGTGAGAAAAAAAGTTACCAGTAGAGAGAGCATTATTACGAGGTAAGGAAATTCAAAGACCCACCAGTTGATATATATATATATAGTGATTTTGCTCCCGTTTGGAAGAACTTGTTTACATTTTTTAAATGATATAAAAACTTACTAGGTTATGATTGAAATGACATCTAACTATGCCAATGTAGCTAGTGCCATAATAAGAACGCTGCGGGTTGATAGAGATACAACTACGTGAAAAAAACAAGGAGAGGTCCGACATTTCGAGCGAAGGCCCCTCGCCGGCAGTTTTCGGCTACTAACTTCCCGACGAAGGAGCTTCGCTTGAAACGTCGAAGCTCTCCTTGTATTTTTCAGGTAGTTGAATGTATCTCTATCAATCCGCGTCTTTCTATAAGTGAAATATCCGCCGTCTAGGCTAAAAGTATCGTCGAAATGTACTCTACATTACCGAGAAGGTGATGTAGAGTACATTAATTTCAACGATAGTAGTTTCCCGTTCAGGGAAGATCATTCATTAGTAAGAGGACGGTAGCAATCGGAAAATGTGATTCGCGCCTAAATAGAGTTTAATATGGTCTACCACGTACGCGGCAAATTTCACGGCGTAGTTTCAATTTCAGCTCAAGAATGACCACAAAGGAAGTTGATTACTGTATATTATAATAATGGTGGAAGATATATAGCCTTACATCAGAAAATACGATGCCGTGTCTGCTGAAACGCTGGTTTTATGTAACCGCCTAATTAAATATATGGTATAGTTTAGTGTTGCGTTCAGAATTACGACGCTGTTGAGGATACTCCTGGGATGGCAAATGATTTATTTGTTGTCTTATATGAAGAATTTCTTTGTTCCAAGGTGCCGTGTCGTAGGTGTTAAGGCCATTTACACTACACACTTTTGCTTAAATCTGTCACATACAACCTGCTTACAACTTGAGTTGTACTGTGTAAATCAAGCACAAAACTCGCCTATACGCTGTCGTAGGTGAGTTGTGTGCTTGATTTACACTGTACAACTCCAGTTGTAAGCAGGTTGCATGCGAAAGTTTTAGGCAAAAGTTGTGTAGCGAAAATCGGCCTTTATATGTAAACTATATCTGTCATCGAATCTTGGACACGAAGTTGTATTGAGATCAAAAGCTATCCTAGATACTGTACTATATATGTGCGCAGTATTTTTGAGCATTCGACTGTAGCCTTGCCTTTGCTACTTGGGTTGCTTAAGCAGTTACTACTGTGTACGATTCGTTCTTGTAAAGAACGTTGTCCATAGTAACGTCTTAAATTATTTTCCAGAACAAATCCTGCATATGATCCCGAGGAAGACAGTGTTGACGAAAGTGTAACAGACGTGAGAGTTCCTCGAAGCAGACGTCCAGAAACTAAGGTCGTAGTGGAAGGACGAACAGAGTTGGAGATACCAGCGAGAGCAATTCCTCCACAGTCTGTTAAGAAATCTCTTTTGTCGGACGCGCAGGATGAAAGTGACGAATCTGAAGGAGAAAGTGTGATTACGGCTAAAGACAGCGTGTTTACTGAAAATACTAATGAGGTATATTGTTATTTTATTATTTTTTAGTATATTGTTGTTAGAGTTAGCAAGCGAGTGGTCAGTAAAAGTTCTTACTCTTATATAAACAAGCTTTCGTTGGTAGGGATGGATCT